ATGGCTTGTTTATATCAGCTGTTGTTTAATTTCATTTGGAGAGAGGTCCTAATGAGGAGGCTTCCTCCCAGCTTACTTCTATGGCTGAACTGCGACGAGACATCGAGGAGGCTTACATGCTAGTGGAACACGGTCAATTACCTGGTGCTGTTGAACTTCTAGGGAGGGCCATTGAGGTATATTTCTGTCTTCTTTTTGATATCTCTACAATAAACAAAGGAACAAACTACGTTTTTTCATATATATAAGTGTGCATTGAATTTTCACTTGCTGTAGTACAACCAGGATTGAATTGTAGTTCAGGCTCTGGGGCCATCAAACTTAGATGAGCCTCACTTTTGATCTCAGTATCATTTTTCTACCATTAATTCCTTTAGTAAAAGTGACAGAGATCAAAAGTGAGCTCAACTAAGTTTTATGGCCCAAAGGCCAGTTCTAGTAAAGATGTACCTGTAATGTGGCATTTTTACATGGAAATAAATCCAACCATAACACTAGAATAAAATTTTGCAAGTGGTTTAATACCGGTAAATTTCAATAAATCTAGCTTATAGAATGACACAGCAAAATATTGTTATTTTTAAAAATTATAGAGAATTTCCAAACAATTCAAATTTCTATAGATTATATAAACATTTTATTCATGTCTTTCTAAAATGGTAGCATAAGTAAGAGAAAAAGATTAGATATTTTTTCTTCTAAATTGAAAATCATTAAACTGTCTTTGTAATTTTCCAACAGAAATGTCCTTGGGATCCCAGCTTACACGAGACAAGAGCAGAGTGCTACATACAAATGGGGGAGTATTACAAAGCGATAAGTGACATACGCCCCACAACGTCCTTACGGAGCGACAACAGACCAGCGTTTTATAAGATGAGTGATCTCTACTACAAGCTGGGGGAGGCAGAAGAATCTCTGATGTAAGCGTTTAATCTGAAAAAAACATTCAACATTGAACCCATGTTTTATTGCATGTGTGTCTTTATATGGCACACCCTCATTCAACTTTTAAAATAAGCATACAATGAAAGCTCTGACTCATTTTTGATTATCAAAATTTTCAATGTATTTCATGTCAGGAAGAGTTCCATGAATTCATGTTCTTATAAAATGTGAAAACTTAAAACTTCAAATGCAGAATTCAATCCAAATTTTCTTTTATTTCATTTTCTTCAGACCACAAAAAAATGTCTCCATAAGAGTAAATGATTTCACAATAAATTACTTGAAGATAGATATCATTTATGTGTATACATGTATGTGTATGCTTCCTGTCCATATAGACTTTTAAAATGTAGTCTAAGTTATGAATAAATCCTTTAAATTCTTCCTCCTCCCTCACAGTCAAATCAGAGAGTGTTTGAAGCTGGACCCAGATGACAAGCAGTGCCAACCACACTATAAAAAGGTCAAGAAACTCGTCAAACAACTGAACGCAGCTCAGGAGGCGAAGGTCGCTGGCCAGTATGATGAGTGTCTGAACAAAGCAAAGCAGTTCATGAAGACGGAACCCAACGTAGAGTTCTACCAGCTCAAGGGACAATCATATCTCTGTCATTGTTATGGAAAGGTAAATTTTGGCAGGTCCACCCAGAAGGGAAAAAAAAATGTCTTTGATATTCATATTTGAAATATTTTTTTTGTTTTCTGTTTCATATTTCCAAGGGAAATGAATTGTTAAATAAATTTTTTATACGAACTGTAACATATTTCTCTATTTTTATAGAGAAGGATTGTGTAAAACTTTCATGTTTTTAATTTCAAATATGTATTTTTTTTTAATGTTCTAATTCGTTTCACTCAAATGAACATAAATTATTTACAATCAAAACAAGAACACTTGTCTGTATAGGAATGGAAGCGCTTGCTTGCCAGTATTTATTAGACGTATACATTTACAAAACACAAGTCTTCAATGGTACCGATTCTCTACCTTCCTTCTACAATATATCAAAAATATAATTAATCACATATAACAGTACAAAATGCATTTTAACACAATGCTTTTATATGTCCTCACTTCACTGATTAAAAACGTAATATAATGCATGTATGAACACAATTATGCTTCCCTCGCCGCCCAGGAAAAACCATAGATAAAAAGCAACATCGATTTATGTTGAACAAACTATGGAAACCTGTAAGTCCACAGCAATTGCGAGGTAAACAAAATGAATGGCGGACTCATTCTCACAAACTTGCGTAAGTGTCATATAATGTACAATTAATCGACTAGTTTAAGTAAAACCTATGCAAAATAAATGTAAGTTAGAACTATCTGTAAACACATTTCGACTATATGTAGCTAATATGTACCATTACACAACAATCTTACATTTATATCAAATTTTACGTAAAATTATCTAGAGCGACTAAGCAAATTGTTTCCCATCTTTGACAATTAATCTGTTGTGTACAAAACTTTTAATTTTCTTGTAATGAAAACAATTACTTTCTTTATTAAATAAAATAAAAGTAAAAGGGTGAAGTAAGTAAAAGGGTGGGTGGGTGTGAATGTCGCAAAGCAAAGCCTTCGAATGAGTTAAAAGTGTGATTAAAGTGAATACCTGTTCACCTGTTCTACAGGCATCGACCTTTAAATACTGACCAATAGCTACTGTCACTTTTATTAGCACATAATAAACAAAAGCACGTGTTCCTAGTACATATGATAAATTAATTTTCAGAAACATATTGAAATCAGTATCTTAATATGAATATACACTTGAATCGTTGTAGGGAGGCAACCTTCAGGACGCTTTGATGCATTGTAACAGATTACTGAGCAGAGAACCAGAAAATGTAGAAGCCTTGATAGACAGAGCGGAGGTGTATTTAGCCAGTGAAAAATGGGACGAAGGTACAGCAACAGCTTAGCTAATGATTAGAATGATATACCCGGTAGTCTAGTATATAAACTTTAATTATATACACTTGCATAGTTAGTAGATGTTCACTTTACAGAATTCATGTTGTATATCTTTTTATTTTTGTTTGGAGAGAGCTGTGGACATAACTTTATTTTTGAGATGAAAAACTTCAACTCTGCACAAGAGCAATTTTGAACTGCCAAAAAATATGTTTATAATAAAAATCATGGGAAGTGGAGACTGGAGAATTTTATGTCTTATATGTTTGTTTGGTGATCATGTAAACTTTTTATTTCAGCAATTAATGATTTCCAAAAAGCAACCAATACAGACGAACATAACCGCAGGGCTCAGGATGGATTGAACCGTGCACAGAAACTGTTAAAACAATCAAAGAAGAGAGACTATTACAAAATTTTAGGAGTTAAAAGGTTTGATATCCTTTGCATTCATTAGAAACAATCAATTTTTTCCAAATATGTTCAATTTTTGCTTCTAATGCATTCTGGTAGCATTTAAAGGGAAGTAACTTTTACCCAAAACATAGCTAACATGGAGTTTCTGTTACATTTTCATTAAAGTATAATCAAGTTATGCGTTTTCTATTTAGAACTGCAAGGAAAAAAGAAATATTAAAAGCCTACAGAAAACTGGCAGCTAAATGGCACCCTGATAAATATGAAGGGGACAATAAACCCATGGCCGAGAAGAAATTTATAGATATCGCTGCTGCCAAAGAAGTTCTTACAGATAAAGGTTTGGCTTTATTCAGAGCATGTTTTCATATGAAGAAAAATCTCTCATGTGTACATGTGCATGTATATTCATGTATATACTTAAAGTAAAAAAGAAAACCACGAAAAACTTCAGTAAAGCTTTAGGCCTTTCATTCTATCTTCAGAAGCTTTACATGTATATATGTACAATGGATAATAATCTTTGAATGAACTTGAATGTTGTTCAAAAGATATATATTTTTATTGAATGAAGAAAATCGTCTCTTAATAGTATTAAATAATGTTTAATAGCTCAGTATAAATTTGTTATTAAGGTGTCTGTGAATTTGTGTGTACTACATGTTTCATGCTATCATTGTCTATTATTATGCCCCCCTTCAAAGAAGGGAGGACATATTGCTTTGCTGCTGTCTGTCGGTCCATTTAGTTTCCGTCCATTTTCTTCACAACAGTTGCACATACTGAAATGAAATTTGGTATACAGATATTTCAGATGAATATCTAGATCAAGTTTTGTTTTGGATATGATTGTGCTTTTCTTGACAGAGTTATGCCCCTTGGACTTAGAAACATTCCAATTATTTACAGTTTCCGTTCATTTTCTTCACAGAGGTTGCTTATACTGAAATGAAATTTAGTATACTGATTTATCAGATGAATATCAAGGGGAAGTTTTGTTTTTGGTATGATTGCGCCATTTTTGACAGAGTTGTGCCCTTTGGACTTAGAAACATTCCAATTATTTGCAGTTTCCGCTCATTTTCTTTGCAGAGGTTGCACATACTGAAATGAAATTTAGTATACAGATTTATCAGATACATATCTAGGTCAAGTTCTGTTTTGGATACGATCGCACCATTTTTGACAGAGTTATGCCCTTTTGCACTTAGAAAAATTCCAGTTTGGGGGGAAGGGGGGCATTAGTGTTTTACAAACATCTCTTGTTATGCTATCTTATCTATTATAATGCTGTCATTGTCTACTATTATGCTGTCATTGTCTACTATTATGCTATCATTGTCTAATATTATGCTATCATTGTCTAATATTATGCTATCATTGTCTAATATTATGCTGTCATTGTCTAATATTATGCTGTCATTGTCTAATATTATGCTATCATTGTCTAATATTATGCTAACATTGTCTAATATTATGCTATCATTGTCTAATATTATGCTGTCATTGTCTAATATTATGCTGTCATTGTCTAATATTATGCTGTCATTGTCTAATATTATGCTATCATTGTCTAATATTATGCTAACATTGTCTAATATTATGCTATCATTGTCTAATATTATGCTGTCATTGTCTAATATTATGCTGTCATTGTCTAATATTATGCTATCATTTCAGAAAAGAGACAGAAATTTGATAACGGTGAGGATCCCTTAGACCCCGAGCAGCAACAACAGGGAGGAGGGGGTCCATTCTGGCACGAGGGCTTTAACCCATTCGGAGGGGGCGGATTTAAATTCAAATTCAACTTTAATTAACGAGGTGCCTCATTTTAGGAAAACTAGACAACTTACTAAAAGAATACATTGTATTTATTTGATATCAAGTTACATGTGTGTACATGTGTTAATGTGCGTGTGAGGGTGCTATCATTTTTGTAGAGGATAATGTTGGATCTCATGTATGGCAAGTAAGTCAGTTTCAGCACCTGCCTTTACACCATGAATGAATTTGTTATCTTCAAGGGAAAATATTGTATCATGTAAGAAAAAATATTATCTGTGATCTTAATGTGAATGTTGTGTGGTGCATGTTGCTGATTGGGTTTATGTGTTTTGAAGTTGGAAAATGTCTGGTGTATAAATGCCTGTGTATGATAAAGGAAATGTGTGATTTGATATGTTGGCTGTAGGTTAGAATATCTTTTTCATACAAAGACAGCAAGTGTGAAAGTGTAAAATAATAAATTGCTTTAGTTATTGAACTCTGCAAAGCAAATTTAAAGATTTAATGCAAGTTTAAACCCAAAAAATGACATGTTTTTGAATACATGTACATGTACTTTCTATTCAATGGAGAAATTTCTGTAATATTTATATGGGTCTGAGTTATAGTGCTAAATCATTTTAGAAGAAAATCTCAATCAAACAAATGAAAACTTTTTTATATATACATGTACATCTATTAAATATTTATGTTTTCAGATGAATTTATTTTTAAAGAAATGTATCTGAAAAAGGAAAATGAAAACGTTTGACGAGTGAATAACATGGATGTGATTATATAAGTTTTTCTTTCCATTTGTTCTTTTATATTATTACATAAGTATACAATGCATGTGCATAATGTACTTGTATGTGAATGCTTATTCTTGATGAAATCCAAAAAAAAAAAAACTGCAAAGGGAGTTCTCCAGAACATCAAAGTGAATGTTTGTAATACTGTAAATCAGAGTAAATGGTCTTCAATTTTGATGTAAATTTCACTCAGGGGGACACATGAAACTTCTAGCCGACATTTTACATTTCATGATTCATGACTTGCAAGTATTAGTGAAGAATTGTGTAAAGAGTAGCAGTAAATGTTTTACATGTTTCCATCTCTAATTTGTTCTGAATTTGTACATGGAAAATAATTTGTCAAAGCAAGGAAAAACTTCTCGAGATTTTTTTTTTGCTTTGTTTTTTTTGTTTGAATTCATGTGAATTCACTTTTTTATGGTACTTATCATCCATTGAAATTAATAAGTTTAAATACTTGAAAAAATTCAGGAAAACAATGGAAAAGTGAAACAGAAGTTAAAAATGTCTTTAATTGTCAATTATATACATCCAAGATTGTTATAAGTCTGCACTGTCAGACATTGTGTAGGTGTATAATGTGATACAGGGCCTTTAGAAGGAATAATGCATTGATCACAGTGGCTTCATTTATCATTTCACTGTACGGTCTCACTGAGACAATTTTTTGTTAACGATGAAGATGTTGAAAACAAATAAAATGCAAAATCCTATGATCCTGCTTTCTCTCTATATAAGGTCTCGGTACTATTCATAAACTGAGAATAGATATAATAAATAGTAGATAAAAAATGAGGTATTTAATGTTTAGTTTTAATTAATCAAACATTTTTTTTTAAAGCTCATTAAATAAAGTATAAACATAATGCTGCCCTTTATTATAGTGCATTTACTGGAAACTTTCTAACAGCATTAATAAGCAGTTAAAAATCCTCACTCATACCATAAACTGAAAATAGTATATAAGTACTACTTTTGAAGTTATTTTCTAAATGTTTCTTTCTGAATATTCTACAATTTACATGAATGCAGTTTCTGAAATAGCTACGAATAGGTTTGATTTTCACCATTATTTATAGATAGGGAAATCTTTGACAATTTGGACCTGGGATCAAGAGGTCATCTTCTGGGGTACCATGAATATAGCAATTTAAATTTGAAAGGCCCTGTTATATGTTCAGTCTGTATAAAGTGTACTCTCATCTTTGTTTGCACTAGAACTGGATATTGCCTGAAGAGTATTTAAATTTGCTTAAATAAAGGACCATGTCCCCTTCCAATGGGTTATAATCAAGAAAAGCTAACAACTGCAATAAAATATATCATTTAAGTATTTTAATTAGTTTGACCAAACCAATATAAATTTCAATTTAAAAAAAATATTGCACATCATGTTTATCACAGTCTATCACAAGGAATGTTTCATTGACAATGGCTCTGCAGACACATTCAGTCATAAATTCACCGGTATGTTCAAAAGTTAGAACAAGAAAGACAGAATGTATAGCAGACATATTCCCAGTAGCACCAGCACAATAACTCCTGTATACTGCCACATTTCCGGAACTGGGACTTTCAGCACTGCATCCTTGGCACCTTTCCAAGCGTTCGGTCCCTGGAGTCGCCACTGGTATGTGCCGCAGGATCCAAGCAATAATCTGAAACAGGTTAGAGAATAAAAATAGGAGCTCAAAAACCTTTTACCTACAGTGTACTGAGCAATAAAATCTGTGAATACTTCTTTTTAAATTTTTCAAATAAAAGAAAATTTGAAACAAGTTCACAGCATTTCATAACAAAAAAAATTTATAAATGCCCTCATCTCTTTCTCCAAAACACATTGAAATCAAAGATTTCAATGTTCTTAATTATAGTGTAATGCACTTATCATTGTATATATAGTGTTGCATGTATTGGACTTTTTTACAGTGAGAACAGGCTTTCATATCAGAAGAGTAATGGTACCTCCATGCCAGAGATGGATTCTTCAGGAGCTCAGGTTTGGCTCCAAACATGGCGGCTATTTCATCATTGTACAGTATGGGGTCCCTCTGTATCGTGTGTCTGTTGGAATGATAGTACCTGGACTTCACCATCTCCTACAGGTACAATTACAAAACATATACTTTTTTTTCCATTTGCTTTATATACCCATGAACATGTTCTAAAATCTGTTTTACAATCTCCTAGCTGCATGACTGCATGAAAATAATTTATGTTTTATTTTCAATGGAATGTTATAATTTGTTCATACATGTATGTGTATGCCAGTTTAATATACTGCCACTGAATGACAGTTTTAATGACATACTGAATTTTTCGACTTATAAATACTTGAAATTACCAGGTACATGTATTTTTATGGGAACACATAATCATTGATTTCATGTCCCAGTGTATAGGGAGTATTTCTATTGAATACTTACCTCCTCTTCTTTTATGTTTTCGTTCATAGTGAGTTTTGTGGGTAGACTACAGCGCCCCCTACATAGCTCCGTGAACCACCTGGCCTGGATTTCGGACATTGAAAGAAGTCCCCCTGAAGCTGGCTGTGTAAAGCCAATGAAGGCTAGAGAGTGGCCAATCTCTGGATGGAAGACATTTTTGTACAGCTAGGAAGTAAAAGAATATTCTGTGTTAATTATAATTATACATTTATAATTATATCTATATAAAATTTTCTAAAATAGAATAAATCACTGTTTCAATTGCATGTTATAATCAATTGCAAACTAGGCTTAAATATTGATTGAACATTATAATTACTTCTACAGAAATAAAAGTATAAATACCTATGAACAGGTGATTTTTTTAATATAGTACAAATATTTAGCATCATGTTTTCTAGGATATATATATATATTTTTAAATATTAAATCAATAAGAAGTGGGCATTTTTTCATCCCCTTTTCTTTTCTAGTAATTGTGCTTTTTAAGATATATATTAACCCCTTGTCTGTGCTGGCTGTTTCATGTCTTGAATAAATAATTTTAAAAAGCTGATTTATGCATTAATTGCTCCAGTATTAATATAGAGATCAGAAAATCTCATTCACAGTAGGCTCTTAAATTTTAGCTCGTTCTATATACATGTATCCTTTTCCAGATAACTGTTTTTTATAATACCATATGAGATTCCTTCAACAAATATAATCCATATACAGCTCACAGCTTACTTTGATTGAGTTTGTGTTTTCATCCAAGATAGTGTTCTTTAGGTCCTCACTCAAAAAAGGGAGATTAATCTTGTATCCTGTACACATCACAATGACATCAAATTCTGCCGACTGGCCATTCACGAAGGTGACCTTTGATCCTTCTATGTTCTAAAGGAATGAAGAAAATAATTTTGGGTACAACAACTGTAATAAAATATGTATAACATAAATATGTAAATACAGTGGATATGTCAAAGTGAGTTGAAAGTCCCTAACATGTAATTATCCTTAATGTATTTTAACCTAAATATCTTAAAAACTTCAGTTATCATGAAGATTTTTCTAAGACAAATCATGTTCAAGATGACAGTATAGCATTTTTTTTTAGCATGAAAATGTATGAGATACGTGTACATACTTGAAAATAAATTCTCAAGCTTTACAAAATCATGCAAATGAAAT